TCTATACATATTGTCATCAAGCAAGGCAATTTAACACGTCGTTTTCTTGCTTAGTGTCAGTACTGAACTATATATTCAGCATTTTGTTTATTCTATTGCATCCATATGTTCATTACATACCACTCTTATCTAATTCAGGAGTCTTAAATATTCATGAACAGATTCCATTAAATCACCAGAATCAGCCAAGTGTGATAGGCAGTATAGAAATTCGATAATTAATAAATAAATGATTCAAGCCTATTCACTTTTTCCCTATCAATAAATAGGCAGCAAACATTTTTAATTCATTCATTTCTTAATGCTTCTGAACAAGAAAAATATTGTCTCATATCTGTTGCCCAACATAAAATCAATATACTGCATTTTACTAATTTTGTCATTGTTACCTCTTGTATTTCTCATTATCATAACTTTTGAAACACTATAAAACTATATTTTCACTGTGTTCCATGTAATTTTTACCGTCATTCCTTTTGTTTATTTTCTATTCATTCTATGGTATTCTAATAGTCTAATACTTTTTTATACAAGACATATACTTAGTTTTTCTGCAGTGTGGTCTATTTTCAGTTTATTTTATTTAACTCCTTTTCTTTTTTCCAGTTCCTTCCCCTCATTCTCCAAGATCCACTTGATTCTTCTGCAAAATCCAGGAAGATCAATTTTTTTTAATTACATGCAAAAAGAAAAGAAAGGAAATAGTAATGGAAAAATGCACATATTCATGTGTTCTTATGTACTCAACCAGAATCTCTTAATCCAATATTTCTCAACCTTAGCAATTTTAGTGGCTGGCTCTGGAATTCTGGGAGTTGAAGTCCACTCATCTTAAAGCTGCTGTTGAGAAATACTTCCTTAATCCATGATAATTTTTTTGTAAAGTGAGTTGGCGGCCATATAAATTTTCTAAATAAATAAAATAAATAAACCCATTTAAAGTTTTGAAAATGTTAAGGACAGTCAAAAAATGGCAGCTATGGTCAGCATAATGAAAACACTTATAGAAGGTTAACCAATAAGTAAGGTCACCCCAGACCATTCAGTCAAGCATCCTAAAATATTCTCTTCCATCCTATCTTTTATTTGGACAGATAGAAGCAAAACAGTAGGCAATTGCCATCCATCAACCATATGAATATTTTTGAAATCTATGTTAGGCTTAGAGGCATTGTTGGAAATACGAATTAAATTAAATAATTAAATTAAATTGTTGTTAGTTTCTTTTGCATTTTTTAGGGTCCATAGTCCTTCTTTCACATGCCTTAATTCCTGTTGAGTATTAACAGTGCTTGATGATTTCTAGTGCATATAGTTTTGTTTTGGAGAAATAAAATGAAATGTATGGATCTGAATACAGGTAGTCTTTGACTTACAACAGTTCATTTAGTGACCGTTCAAAGTTAGAACAGCACTGAAAAATGTGACTTATGACCGTTTTTCAGTTACAACCTTTGCAGCATCCCCATGATCATGGGATCAAAATTCGGATGCTTGGCAATTGGTTAATATTCATAACTGGTTAATATTCATAACTGTTGGTGTGTCCTAAGATTACGTGATCACCTTTTGCAACCTTCTGATCTGATAAGCAAAATAATTGGGAAGCCAGATTGACTTAATAACTGTTACTAATTTACCAACTGCAGTGATTCACTTAACAAGAAGTGTATGTTGATGGAACTCTCTATCGTCACAATTGTGTGGATCCGCATGTGGCTGAGCAACCTGACTTGCAGCCTGACTCTCCATATCCAGTGGACAGGCCAGATTCGCCTGGTATTAATGGGCCACACTTACCCACTGACAATAGGGAACGCATAGTATTGATGCCACAAACCAATGCTAATGTATACCTGACAGCAGTCAAACGTCCCACTAAGTCAGTGGTTCTCAACCTTTTTAATGCCGCGACCCCCAACCGGTCGTAAGTCGAGGACTAAACCGGTCATAAGTCGAGGACTAAACCGGTCGTAAGTCGAGGACTAAACTGCTCATAAGTCGAGGACTACCCAACCGGTCGTAAGTCGAGGACTTTCCCTGCCCAGGAGCGCCACGCATGCGTGGTTCCGCCCCCTGTGCCGGCCGAGGCGTAGCTGGCAAGCGGCAGAGACGGAGCAGGCCGACCACCAGCTGGCCCAGCCCAAGGGAGGTAAGGCACCCGCCAGAAAAGGGGAAAAAATGGCGGACAGCCTTGCTTGGCGACCCCCGTGAAATGGTCGATCGACCCCAAATGGGGTCGCGACCCATAGGTTGAGAACCGCTGCACTAAGTGGTGAGAAGAGCCCAGCAACCTCACCGAAGTTGGAGAAACTCTTAGTAGAAAGAGGTAGTAGTCTTCACCCGTAGTGGCAGATGTTCACAACCACCCAACAGACTTAACCTATAGGAAGTATTGTTGCTAGTTCTCATCCGAAATTTCACAATGTTGTTTGGTTAATATGAAAAGGGGAAGATGTTATGGGTGTTATGTTTACCTTATATGCAGCTCTTATCATTCATCTCTATTGTATTTGTTTCCTGTGTCACATTGCTACTCTATGATTCATCTCTGTTGCTCCTGTGATGCATTTCCTGTTCCTGTTGTATTCTCACTCTCTAAAAAAGATGGCTTCTGCACAGTGATGGCTTGTGTTGTATTTACTTACTCCACATGAAGCATGGTAAGAAAGGTTGTAAAATGGGGCAAACCTCACTTAACAAGTATTTCATTCAACAACACCAACAACAACGTCTCTATCACCAGCAAGAATTTGACTTTTGCTCAGTTACCTCAATGGCATGCTTTGGTGTGCGGTAGAAATATGCAGCATTTTTAATTCATATCAGCAAACTTAATTTATGTAAAACTCATGACTACATATTACATTTGACCAAAGTGCTCAGAAGAGTATTTAACAAAGGAGATTCATGTGAGCAAAGTCTTTTCTGAAGTATTGAGGCAGCTGTATCTGGCAAAGGATTAGACAGCTCTTTGAAAGTTTTTTGAGGACATCTCCATAAATATTTGACTTTCTGTCTTTTTCACTGTACATAACAAATGATTTTAGATGCGAGTAATTAGCAGCAGAAAAATACAGTTAATCTGATATATGTCTACGTTACCTGCAGCTTTGTATATTGAAATTTTCCTTCTAACAGAGCAGCAATTTCATATTTCATATTAAATGCAATTTCACTTATATAATTGCTGAATCTAGGCTTTCAGCCAGTATGATTTTAAAAAGAATTTTGGTATACCTTCGCTAATACATAGGTACATAGCTATTAATTATTTGGAACATTATAAAGTCCATTAGAAATATGTATGTGAGGCTTAAGCAATTTATTTCAGTCAAGTTTCTGGGTAGGAGCTGATTTCTGTCTCTAAACTAAAATGACAATAGAAATCCTTGCAGCAGTATGCATCATTTTCTTCAAGCAATTTTCTGCATATTTTGTTGGAAATATCTGTATCCTTATTTTATGAGGAATGGATATATTCCAAAATGATTGACCCATTGTTCTCTTCAAAATAGCATCTGTGTGAAGAAAGTAATCTTTTCAGAGTTAATAACAGATAGCAGTTATCAGTATGATTTTAAATGTTAAGTTGTAATGTTCACACATATTTAGCTGAACATTGATTGCTAAATGATTGCTTAAATATGTGTATAGTGCCTCCAGACTATTTCACGATATCCTTCAGTTCTGGATGCTTTCCAAAATCTAGGAATATCAGAATTGTAGTTATTTCTACAATTCTTTAGGCCACCTCATAAATACTTACAATTTGAAATATTAGTTATTGTACCACAGTTCAGACTAGTGCAAAGAAAAATAATTCAAATTATAAAGATTGGGTTGATAGTTGTGGGATCACCTCTCCTATTGTTTCTGCTCTCAGATCTAGTTGAGAAGGTATATTCTGGATCTCTTCTATCAAACAGTCTCATCTTTTTGAAGCCCAGAATTATTGCTTCTCAGTGGTAGTATCTGCTCTGTGGAACAGCATCTACCAAGAGATCAGGATGGCCTTGATCCTGTTAGACTTCAGCAAGATGCTGAAGACCTGACTTCAGATATTTAGGTCAGGAGATTAGGTGAATTCTGCTGCTGTTGATTTGTTTCTCTTATGAATGATGTTTTCATTTTATCCTTGGGATCTAGGGATTATATGGTTTTTGTGTTTTAATCACAGTATGCTGCCCAGAGTCACCTTGGGTTAGGATGGCCATATAAATCAATAAATAATAAATTATACAGGTGAAACCCACTAAAATTAATAGCACTTACATTAACAGTATGTTACTTTGTACTCAGATTAGTTTTTGTTGATCCTGATCAAGTGCTTGTAGATGGATTGTCCCAAAGGTGCTTTTTCAGGAAGCAACTGGACTTCCTTGTTTTTCTTTGAAGATGTTTCGCTTCTCATCCAAGAAGCTTCTTCAGCTCTGACTGGATAAATGAAGATTCTTGGATAAGCAGCGAAATGTCTTCAAAGAAAAACAAGAAAGTCCAGTTGCCTCCTGAAAAAAGCACCTTTGGGACAACCATGACCTGGATGACCGAGAATCTCCATAGACTTGTAGATGGATTGATATTTGACATTGAAATTTCATTTCTGTGAGAAGTTTTCCAGTCATACATTCAATATTTTTACAAGATAATTTGTGTAATTAGAATAGTTGATAATGATATAAAATGAGAAGGCATATTGGAAGGTTTGGAAGCTATTGAAATATAACTGCTGAATTAAAATCTCAGCTATTTTAGATTTTTTTTCTTCTGGTTTATGGAGTAGCTGTTTAATCTTTCAATTTTTCATTAGCAAACATGTGTTTCCTGCAATTAGTGTATCCATATGGTAATTGTATCTTTCCTTTGTGTCTTTTGCTGCGCACCATGTGCAGGAAGTTGAGGTTTGTATATATATATTTTTATGCATTTCTGTCTTTCCCCATTCATGTATTTGCACTCTTTTTCCCATTCTAAGCATGTGCTTTCTTTTTCTGCTGCAGGATGATTATTTTCGTACATGGAGTCCGCTTACATCCTTTGATCAAGGTAAGAAATGACCTTTATACAAATAAAAAGGGTGATTTTAATGTTCTTTTTATTTATAATAACGGACAGAAAAGCGAATGCTGCTGTTTAAGTTATCTTTCTAGGTATTCTCCTTGAACCTACTTTTTACAAAGTGAATTTAAAGCAAGTCTACGTGCATTGCCTTAAGTGTCTTACACTTAATGCAGTAATTAACAAAAAGGTTTAGAAAGTGATAGTATGTTAAATTAGATTAATTTTCCTTCTCAGAAGAATTATTCCCCAGTAGATTAATTATATATTTTCTATATTAAATGGCAAACACCCCATATTTAATTTTACTGATAACTGTTATCAGTGAAGCTGTCACAGTAAATGGTTTTTAAGATATAAGATGAAAGCATTTCATCATTCAATTTGTATTACAGTCCAACTTGCTATTTCCTACCCCTCCCTCATGAAGACTTCAGTATCACATAAGATTGTGTAGCCAAAGAGTGTTGGATGATTCTTTATACTTCCCGTAACAGTTGTATAAAATTGTGTGTCGGGAGACGGATGAGATTATTTTTAAAATGTGATTCGTACAACACTCATTTTTATTTCATTTTCAAATGTGATCCAAATCTCTTTTTTATTGTAATCCCCAGAACTGATATCAGAAAGAACAGTTAATAATGGGTTCTTCATATATGGCCAAGGATATTAGTGGCAGGCAGTACATAAGTGTGATTTATTAATTGTAACTGTAATACAGAGGGATAGAGATTAATCATTACATCCCAGACCCTGATCAACCTTATTTTTCAACTGCTATTTCACATGGGCAGACAAACAGATACAGTTTGGCAATTCATTTCTCTAAACTTCTATTAATATTAAATTGAAGAGCACTATTACAAAACAGCTGACCTTATTCCTTATTTCCACAGTATCTACAGATGCCTTCTGTGATTTATTTCCCCCCATTTACGTATTTTTGATTACTACTGTCATATAACATTTCCAGTTTCCAGTTTATATGGCCTAGGGCCATGGTGGCGAACCTATGGTACGTGTGCCACAGGTGGCACGCAGAGCCCTCTCTGTGGGCACGTGGACCGTTGCCCCAGTCCTATGTCTTCAGCTGGGTTTTATAAAACCTCCGCCGCTGTGTGCAAAAAAAAAGGTCCAATCAATCAATCAATTTCAACTTCTCGTGGGGAAAAAAAAAGATCTCGCAAAGTTGGAATTGATTGATTGAACTTTTTAGTCCTATCCAGTCTGCCACCGAAGCCATGCCCACCCAATGGGCCACGCCCACCCAATGGGCCACGCCCACCCAATGGGCCACGCCCACCCGGCACTCGACAATACATAAGTGGATTTTGGGTTGCAGTTTGGGCACTCGGTCTTTAAAAGGTTCGCCATCACTGGCTAGGGTGTGGTCCCAAAAAAACCTGGGGGTCTCCAGATTCGGGGAGGCTGTTCACCTCCTCCCAGTAATAAATGATTCAAACAAAACATGGATTTGGAAATCCAAAAGAGAAGAGATACAAAGTATAAGTGGAACTATGAAACTAACAAAATTGAGAGTAAAAGATGGTTGTACTGTTTCTTAAATTTGGTCCCTTACTAAGTGGTTATAGATGGAAGCATAACTATCTTGTCCTAAAAGTAACTGGATATAAAATATACATTTGAATTCTGATTCTAGTTTTTAATTTTGTTCGATAAATAACAAAAAATAAAACTGTTTATATTCGGTAACCAATTAAACCAGATTTCATTGGGAAATATTTAACTTTTCAAAGACAGCTATTATGAATTGAAATACCAATAATTAATATTACAAAAATGTGTAATAACTTTCTTTGATGCTAAATGTTACATTATTATAATAAAATGCTATTGAATTTATTTAGTTAAAAATCTCATTAAAAACAGTAGTGGATATAGTATCTTTCTTTATGTTACAGTGTTTTATGATGAATGAACTCATAACCCTGTCAATTAGAAATGCTACTTGTCATGCTTACTCACAATCAGCCTACATTGTATATAGCTTTTAACAAACACATTGTGCAGATTTTTCTGGATGATGAAGATAGAAATCTGGATCATGTTTGGATAGTGTATTTTCAGAAAAGAACATCCACCATTGTATGTTTTTATCCTATAGTTTAAACTTTAAATGCATTCTGAAATTTGCATAGTACTTACTAGACAATTACATTGCATTCTATTATCAGTATTCCATCTTAATAGCCAGACTTAATGCAGTCTCCAGGCTTCAGCATTTTTCCATTTTCCTTTATTTGGCACCTAGTTTGATGAAGAGCTTAAGTGAATTTAAAAACCGGCAAACAATTCTCTTTTGTTTTGATTTTCTTTTTTACCGGCATAATAAAATAAATTCTTTAATAGGAATTTTGGAATTTTTCTAATTAGAAAAAAAACAGTCCTTGGTTTTTCAATTTCTTTAATATTTATACTGCAGCACATGCATTTATTGCGGACCCATAGATATAGCATACACTTAAATTTTTAAGATGAATTCCAATAAGACAGTCATAATAATTTGGGTATTTTTACTACCATTCCTCCTTATTGTATTTACTGATTTCTCTCTAGAAAGCTCCTGCAATAAATAGAAAATAAAGTCCTCTATTGGGTTTTAACAATTTAACTCTAAATTGTTAGATAAAAATTCAGGGTAGAATTTCTACAGGTATTTTAAGTTTATATGCTTTGATACTACACTTTAAAGGACAGTTATTCCAAAATTCATATATATCTAAATTATGCTTAATAAATATGTGTAATATTAACTTAGAGACTATTTATTAGAACAAGTTGGAAGACATTAGATGGATTATATAGAAGATGGATAGAACATTTATTATTTGTTAGTATTTATTTGTCTTGTTTGCTGCTCTATCTGCCTCTGTTCATCAGACTGGTGGCTTGGTTTTTGGGCTGACCTGGTCAACTTGTGTTTGTTAAAAATACACAACTTTCCATTACTATAGAAAGGTTCCTAATAAGAAAGCAAATAGTACTAGGACTTAACTCTTAAATAACTGAATACTTAAACTCTTAAAAAAAAACCCTAAATACTTAAATAACTTAACACTTAAATATGAGCCAGAAGCGTGTTGCAGCTGCCCAAAAAGATGTTGAGACTTTAAGAAGAGTTGAGAGAAGAACCACAAAGGTGAATGGGGGACTGGAGGCTAAAACATACAAAGAACAGTTGCGTGAATTGGGCATGTCTAATTTAATGAAAAAGAAGAAGTAGGGATAATATGATAGCAGTGTTCCAATATCTAAGAGGCTGCAACAAAGAAGAGGTGAACCTATTTTCCAAACCACCTGAAGGCAGGACAAAGCAAGGATAAAAACTAATCAAGGAAAGAAGCAATCTAGAACTACAGAAAAATGTCCTTAATCAGTGGAATGATTTGCCTTCAGAAGTTGTGGGTGCTCCAACACTGGAGGTTTTAAAGAAGAGATTGGACAACCATTTGCCTGAAATATAGAGTTTCCTGCTTGAACGGGAGTTGAAATAGAAGACCTCCAAGTTGCCTTTCAACTCTTGTTACTCTGTTAACTCCATGGGCTGTTAATGAGGAGTAACAGCTTTCAGTACTTTTGGTGTAGGATTCAACATGAGTTATTCAGTTGTGAATGTGAGAAACAGAGGAGAGATCCCACAGATTGGATCCTGAAATAGAAGTCATAATCATGCAAGTTCAGTGCTAATTGAAAGCAAACATGACTGGCTCCAATATGATTTTAAAATGGGCAAAGATTATTGCAGTATTTGCTCTCAGCCAATGTCCCAAATGTGCTTTTTCAAAAGGCAATTGGACTTTCTTTTTTCCTAAAAAAAAGAAAAGTTCATTGGATTTCTCAAATTTCTATCTTGGCAAAAGCAGAGGGATATGTACAGAAATTTGCTACTTGCCACACATTGTAATATTACTTTGTTTAGCTGATTAGGCTCCCTAAACTCAGATTCAACAGTAAACTAACATACAGAAAATCTTATTTTAGCTTCTGCCAAGAAAAGTTCAAAGCAATAGAAGAACAACTTTGAATCATTCTGGACAAAGACTCATGGAACAATTAGAGAGTCCAAGTTTTCTTAGGAACAAAATGATTCCTTGATCCATTATTTTGAATACAGCCTCTACCAATTTGAATCTCCTAAGGACATCCTCTCCAATCTCGGAGTCCTAGTGGACAATCACTTAGATATGAGCCAGCAGTGTGCTGCAGCTGCCAAAAAAGCCAACACAATGTTAGGCTGAATTAACAGAGGGGTAGAATCAAGATCACGTAAAGTGTTAATACCATTTTACAATGCCTTGGTAAGGCCCCACTTGGAACACTGCATCCAGTTTTGGTCACCACGATGTAAAAAAGATGCTGAGACTCTAGAAAGAGTACAGAGAAGAGCAACAAAGATGATTAGGGGACTGGAGACTAAAACATATGAGGAACGGTTGCTGGAATTGGGTATGTCTAGTTTAACGAAGAGAAGGACGAGGGGGGACATGATGACAGTGTTCCAATATCTCAGGGGCTGCCACAAAGAAGAGGGAGTCAAGCTATTCTCCAAAGCGCCTGAAGGCAGGAGAAGAAGCAACGGATGGAAATTATTCAAGGAGAGAAGCAACCTAGAACTAAGGAGAAACTTCCTGACAGTTAGAACAATTAACCAGTGGAACAACCTGCCTCCAGAAGCGGTGAATGCTCCAACACTAGAAGTTTTTAAGAAGAGACTGGACAGCCATTTATCTGAAATGGTATAGAGTTTCCTGCCTGAGCAGGGGGTTGGACTAGATGACCTCAAAGGTCCCTTCCAACTTTATATTATTATTATTATTATTATTATTATTATTATTATTATTATTATTATTATTATTATTATTATTATTATTATTATTATTATTATTATTATTATTATACCCCACCTGTGACATTATTGATAAAACTGAAGTCTTCTGTAAGACTTCCATAAGACAGCAGAGTGG